TGTTCATTAAGGAAATGGGTCTATAGTTTTCTTTTTTGGTTGTATCTTTACTCAGTTTGGGTATTAGAGTGATGCTGGCCTCATAGAAGGAATCTGGAAGTTCTCCCTCCATTTCTATGCTTTTTTTTTTCTAGTCTTTTTGAGACAGGGTCTCCTTATAGTCCCAGCTGTCCTGGAACTCACTATGTAGACCAGGCGGGCCTTGAACTCACAAGTGCTGGGATTAAAGGCATGTGCCACCACGCCCGGAAAATATTTTTAATTTCTTCCTTTTAAGAATTTAGTGTAGGGCTAAAGAAATGGCTCTGTGGTTAAGAGTGCATAAGGTTCTTACAGAGGACTCAAGTTGATCCTCAGCACCCAACTGCCAGTAACTTGAGTTCCAGGGGGATCTCTGGCCTTATGTGTAGGCAGGCACCCGCACTCATATCACATGCACTCCTGCATGCACATGCACACACAATTTTAAAAAATAAAATCTTTTAACAAAATGTTTAGTGTGCAATATCTAGGTACTAATATACTCGATTATAGGTACTTCTAAATCTAGATAGTTGTCTTGCATGTGAGGGCACAGAGTTCTCCAAATAAAATGTTGGTTCTTCCCGAAGCTACCCCCCTGAAGTTCTGGCATTTGGGGTGAAGTTATCTGGGAATCAGGTACCTTTGGTAAGAGCCAGTCCCTCCAGGTGGACCTGTGCGTACCTCAGCCTGCCTGTATCCTTTCTAGTCCATGTGAGACCCTATAGGGAGTAACTTCTGGACCCCAGAGTACAAAAAGGCAAACAAACTCCTAGCACCTATTCCCAAGTAGCCTGATGCTCTACACAATCCCCTCAGACAAGCCCTACCCTCCTAAATCCTTTGTTCCCTGCAAGTCACTCCTTCGAGATGCCTTCCTGCAATCTACACACTGAATATACCCTGTTGTGGGCACTATGGAATTACATGCTTTCATCTGAGCATTTAACATGTCTTATTATTATATTTCATTCTCTACCTTATATGTTTTTGAAGACAAGTCTCTCACTGAAGCTGGAGTTCACTGATTGGTCAGCCAGCCTAACCAATCACTCCAGAGATCTGTCTCTCTGTTTCTGTCCCCCTTCCCCAACACTGGGATTACAGACAAACATCACTTCATCTGGCTTTTACATAGGTTCTGGAGATCCAGACACAGGCCCTCAAAGCCTGTGTGGAAGGCACTTTACTGACTGAATCATCTCCCTAGCCCCTAACCTGTTTTTGTTTTTTAAAGTTTCCCTTAAAAAAAAAAAAGCTTTAAACGTCATCATTGATTTTCAAGTTTTCTTAGTATCTCTCAAGCCATGGAGTATTAGAACACATATGGGCTCCAAATCAGTGGGATACATGAGAAGTTGTCTAGGAAGCAAAAGGAAGTCTGGGCTTATGACCTCAACCTCAGTGGAGAACCCCAGGCAAGGTAAGATCGGGCAGGCTCAGACTCTAAGGATAGACGACTACAGAACATTCACCCCATTTCCATGGTGCTCTACCTCCTCTGGAAGCCAGAGCTATTCTGCCATTCCTTCTAAATCTATAGTTTCCTATCTGACATTCAATCTTCTCAGTGTGTTTTCCCAGGTAGTATCACAATTCAAATAAGCACCCCCAAAAAAACCCTTTAGGAAGAGGGGAGAGAAGCACTGGGAAGTACCCTGGGGCTTGCCTCAGTGTAAGATACAAGCTTGAGGACACGAGTGTTTGGTTGGTCTCTCTATCCTCCCACAAAACAACACTTTTCGTGTTGCTTCAGTCCTCTCACCATCTACCCCAAGTTATCCCTGCTCCAGCAGAACAGCATCACTTCCTTCAAGGCTCATGTTAGTTCCAGAAATTAGAGGAAGACTTTTTTGAAAAAGTGTTTTTCTTTCTTAAATATTTTATTATTTTTATGTGTATGAGTGTAGTGCCTGCATGTATGTGAGTGCACCCATGTTGTGCAATGCCTCAGGAGTCAGAAGAGGGTGTCGAATTCCCCTGGAACTAGAGTTAAGGACGGTTCACAGCTGCCATGTGGGTGCTGGGAATCGAACTCCAGTCCTCTGCAAAGAGCAGTCAGTGCTCTTAACCACTGAGCCATCTCTCCAGCCCCTGAAAAGTTTTTCTATTCAGCCCATGGTGGCCTTGAGCTAACAGTCCTTCTGACAGCATCTCCAGTGGATTATAGGCATGGGATACACAACCTTAGTTGGAAGACTCTCAACCTATATGGCCCCAACAACACAGCTTAAGGGCATTTCTCTGTGTAACTTCATGCATGTTACAGTTTCACCTACAGCCACTACAGCCTGACTCTACTAAGGATTCTGAAACAGAACACTTATTTTTCAGCTGGGTCTGCTTTAAAAAGTTTTCTTAAGCTCTGTGTGGTGGCACACATCTTTAATCTCAGCACTCGGGAGACAGAGGCAGGCAGAGCTCTGAGTTCAAGACCAGCCTGGTCTACATAACAAGTTCCAGGCCAGCTGGAGTTACAGGCAGACTCTGTCTCAAGACCGGAAAAAAAAAAAAAAGGTTTTCTTGAATTATACTTTATTTTGTTATGCATATGGAGGTCAGAGGATGAGTTGTGGAAGTCAGATCTGTCTTTCCACCATGTGGGTCCCAGGGATCGAACTCAGGTCATCAGGTTTAGCAGAAGGTGCCTTTACCAGATAAGCCATCTTGCCAGCTAGGTTTCATTTTTAAGATTAAAACAAATAATCAGCAGTAAGTAAACAATTGTGAAAGATTTGTTTATTTATTTTGGTCTTTTTGGGACAGGGTCTCCCTGAAGCCCCAGCTGGCCTGGAACTTGCTATGTAGATCAGGGTGGCCTCGAAGTCACAGAGATCTGCCCGTTTCTGCCACCTGAGTGCTGGGATTAAAGGCATGTGCCACAATGTCTGGCATTTTATTATTTTTATTTTGTATGTATGAGTGTATTGCCTGCATGAATGTAAGTGCACCCATGTCGTGCACATGGAGGTCAGAAAGAGGGCATCAGATCTCCTGGAACTAGAGTTACAGATAGTTGTTAACCACCATGTGGGTGCTGGGAACTGAACCCGGGTGAAATGAGAGATGGAAATGGGAGAAGCTTGCAGGCCAGCTACGGTGATGAACAAAAGACCCTGTCTCAAAATAAGCTACAAGGAGAGAACTGATACTCAATGCTGTCCTCTAACCTCCATACAGGTGCTGTGGCACATCCCTGCACTCACACACAAATATATACCCACATTATCACGTGCTGACACATATCCAACAAGGTGACATCAGCTGCTCTTCTGTAAAGGTGCCTTGTTTTGTTTCTGTGGTGCAGAGCCTCCCTCATGGTAAGCATGAACTCTGAGCTACACTCCCAGCCCTACATATTCACCTTTGCAGAAGGGACTGGACATGTGAAGCAGGACCCCTGCCAGCACCAGATATTCTAAATGCCTAATAAATAATAAAATTAGGATTGCCCACTTTGAAGGGTAAGGTAAGGTAAGGCTAGGTAAGGTAAGGCTGAAGAGGCAAGAACACAACTGTCCTGGATAGCCAGGCGGTGGGTTCCAGAAGGCAGCCACACAGGGGAAGGGAAGCCCAGAGTGATGCCAAGAAGGAGCCCTACCATCCAGCTCCTTCTCAATGGAGTCCATACGATGTGTTACTTCATCCTGAAGAGACTCCACGTGGGTCAGCAGGTTAAACTGCCACTGGTGCTGGGAGCTCAGCAGCCCCTCTCCACCTCTGTCCAGCAACTTCCGAGCAGGGGCTTCCTCTGGCAGGACCTTTTTGGAGACGTAGTCCCTCACCTGGGCATGCAATGACATCTAAATTATTGAGTAAAGACAGCAGCTAGCTCTTTCTCTAACTAGCCAGTGTTTACAACCCTTTGAAAAACCCGCGACAGCCTGAATGCCACGAAGCCCCATCTCTGCTGCCTTTCCATGTGGTGTTCAATACACCACTGCCACAGCCTCAGGGCAGCACAGACCGGCTCAGAAAGCCCTGTAGAACCTCCCCTTGCCTGGCCCAGTGCCCCAGCCTAAGACAGACCTCTCAGAACTCTACAAGCTACCTAAAGCAGAGCAAGTGTAGATGAGGGATAGGACATTGTAGTCATACAAGTTCAGCAACTCCTGGCTCTGTCTCTTGCTGAACACATGGCCTTGGTCAGTTACTTTCCCTCACTGTGAAGATGGATAGCAGTAAGGAAGCGTCATGGGAATGAAAATATGGTGCCGAAACACAGCTCACCATCAGTGGGAGAGATTTATGACCATGGCTGCCTTGCTGAGAATAGGTATTTCCTGATCTTGCTTTCATTCCTTTAGAAATCTGTCTAATCCATAAGGTTGCAAGCATTCTACTACATAGTTTAGGGTCTCAAACTTCAATTCATTTATTAGAGATAAGACTCAAACATTTAGGGCTAGTGCAAAACACTAGGTGTTGGGTAGAAGCTCAGCCATGAGACCAATGCCCATTCTACAGGTAAGGAAAACGGGTCTGCCTCAAAAGATTGTTCTTAACCACCCTGGCCAAACTGTTTAGATACAGGTAAGAGCACAGACTGAAATCCGCACTGTGGAAGGCATAGTTAAGACGCTCCATCTTGGCAACAGGCAGCTGTATATTTATGCTGCTGATGCCAAACCCACAGGATAAAGTCTGGGAAAGTAAAGATTAGCAGGGCAAAGGAAATCTGAAGTCATACAAAGCCTCACCCGCAGGAGAGGACAGGCGCAGACGTGAAACAGCTACAGAGGAAAAAACTGGTAACATGGGATGGTATAAGGAGGTCCAGACCAGAAAGGCTCAGCATAACAAAAGACAAAAGGCTGGCTCTTTGGAAAACTGTTTAAAGTAGCAAATATTTTGATGAAATTAATCCTTCTTATGACAGGACAAGAAAGCCACGAAAATAAAGTCATCATACAATTTTGTTGAAGAACATTATGCCTAATAAGACCTTGACTCATTTGCACGCACACAATTAGCACCTAGTACAATTATGATGTAAGTGGTGTTGAAGAACAGTTCTTTTTTTTCTTCATGTTCCAATCAACATCTCTGCTTGCTACTTCCTATCTCTTTACCTGACTTCCACTGACTATGCCATTTTGTGGGGTGTGGGGTTTTCTGGAAATGATGATCTTTGGCTTAAGTGGATTCTCCTGACTTTGTATTCATTTTAACAGATTAAAACAAAAAACAACAAAAAAAACCTAGTTCTATCAAGAATTACCTTCCTCAGAACATTTAGCCCAAGGAGAAGAATGCACAAGCATTCAACCACTAAGCAAAGAACAAGTTCAAGCAGCCACATACCTTTGGGGAGCTGGGTTTGGGGTCACCATCCTCTCTGCCCCTGTCTTGGTCTAGAGGCCAGCCTAGGCGTGAGGAGAGGGGATCGTCACCATTCTCACAGAGGGGGTTAACTGCATCATCAAGTGCAGAGCCTCGAGTCTCTACCACCAGTTTCTGCTCCACAGCAGGGTAGTAGGTACGAGGCTTCTGGTAGCAGTGCTCGCTGGTGATGTAGGACTCCTCCACAGACCGGGGCAGGGGAAGGGGCTTCTCCACTGCCCCGTTCAAAGTTCTATAGCTTGGGGACTCCTCCTTGCTTTTGGTGTCCATGATGTGGATATGTCTGGAATGAGCTCTCCCCTCCCCTGAGTGCTGTTTCCAGGGCTGGCACCACAGCTGCAGATCAGGATGCTCTCTGCTTCTGTGGGGATGGCAGACAGGGAAATACTTTAGGGGCAGTTAGCACTATTGCAATGCTTCTCAGATTCAAACACTCTCCCCTGAGGGAGAGCAGAGTGGAGACATCACATGCTGGTCTCCTAGAAGGCTGCTGCAGGCACAGTGGGTAGAACTGAACTTAGCACTGAGCAGCAGCACAGCTCACTCAGCCAGATAGATTCCTTCCAGCTTCCTCCTCTGGAGACTAATCTTGTCACCTCTCAGCCCTGAACAGCACCAACTTTTACAACGAGTAAATGAAGTAATTTGAATGGAAAGTATGCTGGTAAAATGTTCTTCAAATGTAGTTACTAAAAACAAAACAAAAAACAAAAAAAAAAAACCCTAAACTTAATAAACTGTCACAATTTGATATTCAGTGGAACTTAGTTACCAAAAATGCAATGATGCTGGGGATAGACCACATGTATAGCCACTAATAATAACTTTTTTTTTTTTTTCTTTTTGGTCTTTTTGAGACAGGGTCTCAAAAAGTTCCAGCTGGCCTGGAACTTGCTATGATCTATCTGCCTACCCCTGCCTCCCAAGTGCTGGGATTAAAGGCATATGCCACCATGCCCAGCTAATAATATTTCTAAAAACATTTCAACAATTTTCTATTCTCACTATTCTAAAGAAGAAAGCTGTCAGTAAACAAAAGAACAGAGGGGCGCTGGAGAGATGGCTCAGCAGTTAAAAGCACTGGCTGCTCTTCCAGAGGACCCAGATTCAATTCCCAGCACCTATATAGCAGCTAACATCCCTTTTAAACTCCAGTTTCTGGGGAATCTGATGCCTTCTTCTGATTTCCTCAGGCACTGCACGACACAGGTGCACTCACATACATGTAGACACTCAAACGTCAAATAAAAATAATTTTAAAAAAAGAGAGAACAGAGGGGCTAGAGAGATAGCTTAGTGATTAAGAACTCATACTGCTTTTCCAGAGAACCCAAGTTCAAATCCCAACACCCATGTCAGGTGGCTCACAACCACCTGCAACTCCATGTCCAAGGGATCACACACCCGTTTCTTCATATGGTGCACATACAGAAATGCAAAAACATACATGCAAACAAAACATTCATATACATAAAGTAAAATTAATTAAAATCTTTTAAAAAGAATAAAAAAAGAAAGGTAAGGGCAGGCCTGGTGGAACAAGTCCTTAACACCAGCACTTGGGAGGCAGAAGCAGGTGAATCTCTAATTTGGTGAGGTTTTGTTCATTTGTTTTTAAGACAGCCTTCCCCCCCGCGCCTCTCTCTCTCTCTCTCTCTCTCTCTCTCTCTCTCTCTCTTTCTCTCTCTCTCTGAACTTTTGAGATAGACCATGTCTCTGCACCACCACACCCAGCAGATTGCTGTAATTTTGAAGCCAGCCTGGTCTACATAGTGAGTTACAGGCCAGCTAGAGCTACAACATGAGACCCTGACTCAATGACAATAATAATAAACAAAAAAATACCAAAACAGGGGCTGGAGAGATGGCTCAGCAGTTAAGAGCAATGACTGCTCTTGCAGAGGACCCGGGTTCAATTCCTAGCACCCACATGGCGGCTATGAACCGTCCTTAACTCCAGTTCCAGGGGAATCCAAAGCCCTCTTCTGACCTCCACGGTATTGCACAACATGGGTGCACTCACATACATGCAGGCAATACACTCATACACATAAAAAAAAAAAACCCACTAAACAAAACTAAACAACAATAAACAAGTATCAGAGATGGCAGTTGCTGCCAAGTCTGATTACCTAGGTTCAATCCCTGAAACCCCATGGTGGAATAAGACAAACAACTCTAGCACGTTGCCCTCCGACCTACACACACACACACACACACAAAATATAATTTTAAAAAACCTAAGGGCACACATGTCCTGGTATAATGTTATGGTTACATACATACATTTATCAAAATTCAATAAGGTCATAAAATAAACTTGCATATACAATATTCCTCAATAATTCTTTTAAGAAGGAATGCTTATATAACCGATGGGAGGTTGCTGGCAATCAAACCCAAGGTCCCACACAAGAGTCCAAACACTCTACTATCGAACCAAATGCTCAACCCAGGAATATTACTTTTAGTAAAGGTCTCAAACCCATGAGTCTTATGCATGATTTTGTGGCTTTCCAATTTCTCCCCACATAGCCTACTGAATTAAGAGCCAAAGGAGATTCCTCACCAAAGGCTGCAGATGCCATACTTACTGCAAGATGCTCATCTTGAGCTGCAAGCCATGCAGAACCTCAATCACTCTCTGTACATCGCCAAGAAGCTGATGGGTGGCCACAATCTTCTTGGCATTCTGATGGGAGTAGTTATCTTCTAGAAATGCCAGTCCGTGCATATGTCCCCTGCTCAACCACTCCTTGTCATACCAGTACTTGAAGGCAGGTCTCTGCCCTAAGGTAGTAACATTAAGAGGATCAAACACGGCCTGAGCGAAACAGGCTCCCTCTTGATTTTTGCATAACCATCATATGAGCTTCTGGAAGAAAGGCCAGAAGACCATGCTCATTTTGTTCACTTTTACTTGGCACCTACCCTGTGTTGGGCTTTCTACTAGGTGCTGGGGATCAGGCGGTGAGTGAGAAAGGCATGTTCACACCCTGATGGCCAGGAACTGGTGACAGGTGGACCATAAGCATGGATTCTCATATTCATAGTCTCTCATCACCTCTCTCTCTCTCATACACACACACCCCAACCCCTCTCTCTCTACCTCCCCTTCTCTCTCACCCTCCCCTTCTCCGTTTTTGTTTGTTTTGAGACAGAGTTTCCCTATCTCAAATAGATTTATTCAACTGAGCCAATGACTGGAAGGCCCCACGTCCCTTTCCAAATGAACAACCTGCCCTCCAACTAACAGATGCTCAGGCTCCCCACTGTAGACCCTGCTTCCCATCTGCTATGTAACAGATGACCTGAATGGCTTCAGGGGTCCCACTCATTACAAGGTTCCTTGGAAAGGGCTAAAAACATAAGTTCAGGGACTCAGCAGCACTTCCTGCTCCAAAAGCCCACTTCCAACCTAGCTCCTTCACTTGTCAATCACTATAAAAACCCTAAAATAAACTGGGCACGCCTTTAATCCCAGCACTTGGGAGGCAGAGGTAGGTGATCTCTGTGAGTTCAAGGCAACCCTGGTCTACATAGGGAGTTCCAGGCCACCTGGGGCTACATGGAGACCCTGTCTCAAACAAACAAAAAATTGAAATTAAAAAA